ATTAGGGATGGGTAAGTGAAAAATATATATCGATATATATATATGCATATTGTATTGATATATAGACATATCATACCATTTTTGCATGATGTACTTGAATAAGGCCCAAAATATACTTATTGACAGTTAGATGACGAAAAAAACGACAACATCAGATGAATGTTTTCGTAGCTGCTTTCGCTGCCTAATATTTTGTCCATTAATACAACAATTAAAAATATATCTAAATTAATACGAATTCGATACTCTAAAATAAAAATCGATATATCGCGATTAATAATATCGGCGATTTATATCGATATATGTATGAGAAAATGTCGACATTTCGATATATCGATATTTTTATCCCAAGCCTATCTGGAATTAAACATAAGTAAAAAAAGTTATAAACTGTACTAATCACTAACCAGCCACCGTTTATACGTTTTTACAAAAGTACTCTCATAAATCATTCTCCTAAGTACTACGAGTAAGATAATGTAAACCGGTCGGTTCGGAGCGCATCCAAGAGAAAGACGACCAAATAGAGTGTAGTTACTACGTGTACGAATGACCAGTACGTCATGTTAAAGGTCATTATAATATGTAGGACGCTGTAACGGTATCGCTCAGAAACAACAGTACCCGCCGCTCGATAGTACGTTCTTGCTTTTAATCTTTTTTAAGTCTGCATATGTTGATTTCCCATTTAATCGTTTTGGAACTTCAGCCTTATTAAAGATTTAAAGCTTGCGGATTGCTCTTTCTTTATTTTCTTTTTTTTTAAATCTTACCCCTTCACGAGGATTTTTCCCGTATCGTGGAGACAGTTTTTTTTTTTAATATAGAATGAGAGTGACAAACGAGTACACAGTCCACTTGATGGTAAGTGAATGTTGTAGGTCATAATCATCTACATTTATCCTCAATTAAGAATCAAAACGCAGATGCGTTGTCACCCCGGAGTACTTAGATGGAATGCCTCGTTTTCAGTAAAAAGTTTACAAACATTAATTGCATCCAGACCCGTAACAACTATTTGCAGTCCATACAAATACTTGTACCGTGCGGGATTCAAACCTTCGGTCCACAGCGCTGTAACTCATTACTAAGTCGCTACGCCAAAGAGCCGTCAAATTCTATCAGAGGATACCTCTTACAATCTTTATAGCCACAAAATAGTTACGATAGAAATTATAAACCTAATTTGTCTGAAGTATGAATATCCACTACACCATATCATTTCGTGTTGTAAGAAGCGTCAGAGGGAAACATACCAGGAGATGGAAAGCAGTATTTCTAAAAACAACTAAATAATTAAAAATTTAATATTTTGTACAATCGACTTCAATATAATTTATTAATAATAACTCAAAAACTATTGGGCAGACCTTGATCAAATTTATATGGAACCACATGAGAAGAACCAGATTTCAAATGAAAAAAGAATCATCGAAATCGGTTTACCCAGAAAAAAGTTATGAGACAACACACATAAAAAACATATAGTCGAATTGAACCTCCTGTTTGAAGTCGGTAGAAAAAAACTGAGGCTGATAACTCTCCTGCTAAGCTTGGCAACTATGACAGTTATATAAAAAAATGTATGGGGAGCCATAGTTCACCAATAGACTATAGGCAAGTAACAGTAACGATAACCTCACCAGTAATAAGCGTATTACAATTACGTCAGTATATGCATTATATATTTTAGTCCATAGCAGCTCAAGCAGCTAAGCGTTAGCCGAAAGTTACACAGTACGCGCGCAAGCCGGCTTCAATCCACGCCAGCACCAATGAAGAACATCGTGAGGAAACCAGCATGTCTGAGGAATATTTCGGGATAATTTCTTATATTCACGCGAACACTAAACATTGAATAAAACAAATTTTACTGATTTTATCGCGTTTAATATTTTTTTTAGAACGAAGTTTTTTGGATGGGGTTTAGGCGAGAAAAAATGTAAGATTTTTTCGTCGCGACACCTTCTGACGTAGCGTAGACGGCCTTGGCGGCTATAAGGAAGCGAGATTGAATTATATCCATCTACCTCGCACTTTTTCTTATCTTGCCATGAAAAAAATATTATTTTAAATAACGCTTCATTTTAATATATGGTAGTAATTCATTTATTTGTATTTATTAATCAATAATATAATATGTTTATCATAATAATATACTACGAAAGGCACTTCGTTCCAACCGAGTGTTCAACGACACTCACGCAGTTTTTTTTTCGTTCGAAACGACGGTAATTAAAAATAAGCTAATTAAACGCATATGAAGTCTACCAACACACGTTGGAGTAGTGCGTTGTGCCAATTACTTAATAACCGACTCAGAAATAAGAGGAGACCCAGCGGTAGGACGTTGTAGTATGTAAATTTATTTTATTTTTATTTTGTAGAGTTTTTATTGTGTGTGTCCCTTTATATTGTGTGTGTCCAACTATCTTACACTTTAAACCGAAATACAGCAATGTTTGCGCTACTGATTTGTCTTACTTGATGTTATTATCTACGATATCCCCGTAGCAGGACAGACCAACAGAGATATATAAAACACTATTATAGTTCAAGAAACACCGAAACAACGCTTAACTTATTATAAGAACACGCACCCAGGCAAATCTGCTTTTTGGAGTTTACTCCTTAAGAATCAATTTTCATATATACCCGGCGTATGAAAATTTATGGGGAGTGAAATCGTGCGTCATCCGTTACGTTATGTATTAATGTTTCCATGACTACGTAATATCACAGTATAATAAACATACAGTAGGACGACGCCTTTGATCTTGTGGTAAATGCCAACAACGTCTAGACAGCGTATATAGGTTAGGGTTGTCACAAATTAACAACTTTTACTAATTTAATTATTTATTTTAGATCTACATCGTCATCAACAGTATGATTACTAATATAAAAAATAAGTAACAATTTGTTCTTAAATTTTTCCTGAAAGTACTCAAAACGTTAATTGCACGCCTCACAACGTGAGGGAGTGCTCTACTCTCGATATGTGGCCATACCTCAATTTCGCTACATGAAATCGTTCTTATACTCTTAGCTAAACATCAAATCCATATTATTATTAACGTTACAATGACTACAGACATTGAATTATTAGTTTATTTTATAATTGATTCTTTAGGCTTTCGAAAGTTCTTCCAACTAAATCAGGTCTTCCAATAACTTCCATCCATAATTTGCGTCTGAAATTTTTAAATACAATACTTATTAATAAATTTTCATAATTATCACCCCCAGAAACCTTAAAATTGACATCCATATTGTATTATTAAAAAAATCCATCATATTGGATATGAAAATTGATGCCGTTTTCGTAATTGGCACCCCAAAAAACCTCGAAATTGACATCCATAACAATCAGCACCACAAGAAACCTCGAAATTGATACCCATATCATATTATTAAAAAAATGTCCGCCATCTTGGATATGAAAATGGATGCCGTTTTCGTAATCAACACCCCAAGAAACTTTGAAATTGACATCCATAAAATTAAAAAAAATTATATCCACCATCTTGAATTTAAAAATGAATACCATTTTCGTAATCAGCACCCCAAGAAACCTTGAAATTGATACCCATATCATATTACTAAAAAAATGTCCGCCATCTTGGATATAAAAATGAATGCCATTTTCGTAATCATCACCCCAATAAACCTCGAAATTGACATCCATATCATACATATATTAAAAATGACCGCCATCTTGGATTTACAAATAAATGCTATTTTCGTAATTAGCATCCCGACAAACCTAAAAATTGACCTCTTAATCTTAATATTTTATAAAAGAACTTCCAAAAAACCGAAGACGAAGCACTATAGTATGGTCTAAAACCTTAGCCTGTCCACACGATTTAGATGAAGAAAAAAAATCAATCTTCGAAACTGTAATGCCCAGCGACTAGTACCTATTTTTTACGTCCGCCATTTTTTTTTTACTTTGGCTATTTGGCATGACATGACAAAATATACATAATGTAAAAAATAATAACAATATTTATTTACCTTTCTTCATCAAAATATCATAAAGGCAAACGCGCGTTAACCCTGGAAGTCGTGTCCCGAGCTACTAATACAATTGGCATAAGAAGCTCGGGATCGTCCTTCCCGCGTCTCACCCCTCACACCCCGCACGATTGCCATGTCTAGACGTCTTCGTCGGACGACTGTATGGATTTATAGACTGTGGTAATATAGTGCGCAACTTATCTTGCGCAGCCCCCAGCACAGAGTACTCTCGGCTGTATTACTTTATATAAACAAATAACAACTGTCAACCAACTGTCAACTTGTGGAGTTTTGATATTGAATTTCATATATAATCGTTCGTAAGGAGTAAACTCCAGTCGTGCGTCGGAGCTGGCACACACACGTTTTTTATAGAATATGTGTGACAAATGTGTACGTAGCCCACACTCAGCATACGAAACACAGCGCCATTGTTGTGCAGTTTCACGCTGGTATTCTGTGAGAGCATTGCCCTACCACGATCGTGCCGACCCGTTCGTGCTGAAGCTATAACAACTAGCTTAACTGCAGTGTAGTTCTACCATAAGAAAAATAATTTGCAACCAACAACTTGGTTTTATGTTGTTGCCTGTGAGCGTCCAGCAGTGGACTGAGGCGACGATGTCGTCACGCCGCAAGCGTAACGCACCGAAGCCTAAATCACGCTATCAAAGTTTTGAAGTACTGCGCTTTATATAAAATAGCTCTGTACTAACACGCGTAACGTTGGCCGCTCGCTGACCTGACCACTGTCCTCAGCGGGAGATCTTCCTTTGCCTTTTACGGCTAAAGGACTTTTACGGGATGTTAAAGAAAAAACAGATATATGTGCGTGTCGCGAAGTTAGACATTGTCTAAATAACTAATGTTTTTTCTATCTTCCTTTGTTAATCTAAGGTACCGTCATAGTAAAATCAAAACATTTATGTTTCCAGAATGACAAGAGAAGAGACACCAATATTCCCTTATATACAGTGATGCGTGCAAAACAATGGGTGGTGCTATGGTCTCTATGGGCCGCAAGGCTAGTAAGACAGCCCACAGTCACAGTACGCGTGAGTGGTGGACAACTTCGAGGTAGCATTGCGGCTGACGGATCGCATGCCAGTTACTTTGGAATTCCCTACGCTGAAATACGCCGCGGAGGCAGGTTCAAGGTACAGACTTCTTAGTATGCTACCAACTTTTTTTTTAAATAGAATAAGGGTGGCAAACGAGCACACAGTCCTCCTGATGATAGTAGATGCCGTGACCCATAGCCATGTGCATTTATGCTGAATCAAAATTTAGATGATTTGTCACCTCCAAGGACTAAAATAGAATGCCTCGTTTCCAGTAAATAGGGTCTCCGTTTTTCTACACTCACAATATAAAACACAGTAGCATTAAGCTGCTTTATTTTACGCTGGAGTGTAATCGAACCCTGTCGAACAGACCCATTCATGCAACTATAATATAGCTTGAAACTTGATAATCTAGGAGGAATCTTTTCAGCCTTCTTATTTTTTTAGAAACGGTGGATCTTTACCATTTTACCTTTGATATTTCACGCATTCGAACCACAGGGCTTGCTTTAACTTTTACTATGCGTACAGGAAGGTAGTGAAATAAATTGCCAGGATCTGTCTTTCTTTACACTTGTAATCTGGGTGTCTTAAAAACAAGAGTATATAGGCTTTTATTACATTACGACTAAATTTTAAAAACTGTGAACGCTTAAAATAATAATAATAATAATCATTGATAGATTTTACAGAATAATTCTGTATTTTATAGCAAGCAGTTGAATTTATTTTAATACTTCACACGGAGTTTTAATTTATCGGAAAGGCATTTTAAATTCATAAAATGCACAAAGTACCTGACTTCGGAATAATTCCGTGACCATTGTGTAATTGAGACTCCTAACCTGTTTTGTGCGGTAAATATCACACAAGGAATTCCTGGCAACACGCACTGCTGTATTCCTGGCTGAAGAGTAAATATTAAAGTAATAGCCTAATTAATTATAGCCTATTTAAGGCCCACTACTGGTCACAAGTATTGTCTCATTTCAAAAAGGGTTTTGGGGCAAGAAAGTATCTCGCGCTGACCCATTGTATTACCGGTTAAATTTTGTGTTAAAAAACTAACACGCAACTCAACTGATGGTTTGCGGTGAGACCATAAGAATTGCTGGTGTATTGCCGGCGATTAAAAAACGAGTAGGCTTTTGAAATCTCTAATTCCTAGTTTCTACGAGTATATTCAATACTTTGTTGATTTCTGACATAGCTCTTCAAGAACTATATTTATAAAAATTAGATAAAAGTTAAAAATGAAAGTCCATAAATAATTAAAAAAATATAATTCATTTATTCCTAAAAATAGAGTTACAGAGCTAAACACAAAAAACAGCTTATATTAAATTATTTTTAATTCTTATTACATATTAAAATTAACTGGCGGGCCTCAAACTAGGCATAGCCTGAATCTTGGGGATCAGGAGATTATTAAATAAAAGCCCTTGACTTCGTCTTACTGGGCCCGGTTTTTATTGCTTATCATAATAATCTGTAATTACTTTAAGGCCTTCTGTGTGATAGGAACCTCGGAAAATATTTACCAAAAACTGTGTTTAACTGATTCACGAGTTACATTATTTCTTTTTCTTCTTCTTTTACTTCATCAGCCCATAAAAATCCATTGCTGGGCATTGGCCTCTGGATTTCCCTTAATCGTGACTTGGCAGGCGGATTGACTGTCGCAGTACTAGATGTTAACTTTGGCGCTACTCCCCGTCTCAGATCAGAACATTTTACGTCTGGAGTAAACAAAATGACTATACCGCCCACAATCAGAAGCCATAGAATTTTTCAGGCTTTTAGGTCGTTGTAGACGGTGCATGTTCTGACTACAAGCCTATTAACGCTGGTGTTCCACAAGGCTGTGTGCTATCACCAACGCTGTTTCTTCTGCATATCAATGATATGTTGCTAACTGGTAACATTCATTGCTATGCGGATGACAGCACTGGTGATGCTCTATACACCGGCCGGGCCAATATTTCTCGGGAAAAAGTCGCCGAGTACCGGAACAAACTTGTGTCTGAAGTCGAGTCTTTGCTGGACAAAGTCTCGGATTGGGGGCGACTAAATCTAGTCCAGTTTAATCCTCAGAAGACACAAGTTTGCGCGTTTACCGCTAAAAAGAACCCCTTTGTCGTATCTCCTCAGTTTCAAGGCACTCCCCTTCTTGCCTGAGCCAGTATCGGTATCCTCGGAGTCGACATATCGAGTGACGTGCAGTTTCGTGGTCACTTGGAAGAGAAGGCCAAATTGGCCTCTAAAAAGCTTGGCGTGCTCAGCAGAGCGGGACAGTATTTCATGCCGGCACACCGCCTGCAACTTTACAAGGCGCAGGTTCGGCCTCACATGGAATACTGTTCCCATCTCTGGGCAGGGGCTCCCCAGTGCCAGCTCCTTCCACTTGACCGCATCCAGCGCAGAGCGGCTCGAATCGTCGACGACCGAGCCCTTTCCGATCGGCTCGATTCATTGGCACTGCGAAGAGATGTTGCATCTCTTTGCATTTTCTTTCGCATCTACCATGGGGAGTGCTCTGAGGAATTGTTCGGATTAATCCCAGCCGCCAAATTTCATGAACGCACATCGCGGCAGAACTCCCGATACCATCCACACCATCTGGATGATTGGCGGTCCACCACTGTGCGATTTAGAAGATGTTTTCTTCCTCGCACGACTTCCTTATGGAATCGATTACCATCAGCGATTTTTCCGGACCGATACGACTTAGGGACCTTCAAGAAAAGAGCCTACTCCTTTTTAAAAGGCCGGCAACGCATCTGCAATTCCCCTGGTGTTGCGGTTGTTCATGGGCGGCGGTAGTCACTTACCATCAGGTGAGCCGTATGCTCGTTTACCCCCTCTCCTATAAAAAAAAAACATTCGTTTCTTACTATACCTAGAGATATCTATGTTACCAATAATATATATAATACTAGCTGACCATGCAGACGTTGTTCTGCTCTCTTCGACGACCCAGTTTCCTATAAAAATTCTTAAATTCGTAATAAAACATATTGAGGGTCACTTATAGGAATAAAAACTATCCTATCTCTCAAGTTGGACCAAACTGCACACAGTGTAAATAATTTCATTGCAATCAGTTTAGTAGTTTAGGAGTTCATCGCCGACAAACAATGTGACACTTAATTTTTATATATAAAGACTAGCTGGCCAGGCAGACGTTATTCTGCCCTTTCCGATGACCCTTCCTAGAAAATATCCTTAAATTTGCAATAAAAAATATTGAAGGTCACTTATCGGGATAAAAGTATCCTATCTCTCAAGTTGGACCAAACTGCACACAGTGTGCGAAATTTTATTGAAATCAGTTCTCTAGTTTAGTTCATCGCGGACAAACAACGTGACACCTAATTTTTATATATAAAGATTACAATACCTACAAGACTAATTGATGAATTCTCTTATAAACCTCACTACATGGCAGTTAGATCACGTTGTGTTTTTTTTTATTTCAGTCAGCTAAACCAGCACCATCTTGGAATGGCGTTTTGGATGCTTACAATGAACATATAAGATGTATTCAAAGGTATACCGCAACAACTATTCTAGGCCAAGAAGAGAATTGTCTCACCTTAAATATCTACACTCCATTAGTTCCTTATCAGGATAGTCTTCTACCGGTAATGGTTTACATTCATGGAGGGGGTTTTAGAGATGGATCTGGCTCGCCTTCCTTATACGGACCCGAATATTTAACAAAACATGGGGTCATCCTTGTTACTTTTAATTATAGATTAGAAATAATCGGATTCCTCTGTTTAGGCATCGAAGAAGCCCCAGGTAACGCTGGTTTGAAAGATCAAGTGGAGGCACTGAAGTGGGTAAAGAAAAATATCAAAGCCTTTGGTGGGGATCCAAATTCAATAACATTATTCGGTGAAAGTGCTGGTTCCGCATCTGTGTTTTATCATTTAATGTCACCTATGTCTGTAGGATTATTTGATAGAGCAATCATGCAGAGTGGATCGGCAATGTCACCGTGGAGTTTACAATTCGAACCTTTGAAAACTGCCAGTGCTGTTGCCAAACAAATGGGATACAATACAGAGGATCCTCATGAAATATACGGTATTTTTATGAATACGTCCGCGAATAAACTGCTTAGTACTCGTGTCCCAAGGGCGATTGGTGATATTGTGATCTCAGAAAATATTTTCGTGCCATGTATTGAGAAAGAAGTAATAGGTGTTGATCGGTTTCTTAAAGATCTACCTTATAATTTACTTAAAGAAGGTAAATTTAGTAAAGTTCCAATTATTGTTGGACATAACAATGCAGAAGGATACATGTTTGCTGGAAAAGAAAATGATACAACCATTTCGAATTTCAATTTCTTTGATTCCTTACCAAGAGACTTAATTTTTCCGTCTGCCGAAGAGAAAAAAAAGGTAGCGGAGAAATTCAAACAGATTTACATGGGAGGTGAAAAAATTTCCAAGAAAACGCTAGAAAATCTTGCAAGGTACGAAGGGGATTGGGGCATAACCTACCCAGTGATAGCGACAATTGATTTCTTGATGCAGAATTCTGACAAAAATATTTACACATACAAGTTTAGCTACGACGGTTGGATGAATATTGTGAAACAGATGTACGGATTTTGGAAGTCGCCTGGGGCGACACATGCTGATGAATTGTTTTATATTTTCAAGCTAAAAATAACACTGCTGCATTCCTTTCTGGAACTGGACATGATAAACAAAATGACTGCCATGTGGACGAATTTCGCCAAATATGGGTAAGTTGATTTTTCCGTTGGTGGCATCAAGAATCTATCACCTCGTTTCATTTCTTGGTTCGCAACTATAGGAAGCGCCAAAAATTCTTATGGCTTTGATTTTACACTTTCGTATATACGGGCAGAATGGCAGCAGTGTCATATTTACTCATAAATGATGCTAAATAGCAAGCTCCAAGTGTGGCGATTAAAGCAAATACTCTCTAACAGAGCCCTTTGTGGATTGCACAACACGCGTATTTATAGCATAACATGTTATTATTAATAGGTGCACTAGTATTATCGTATTATATAGTACAGTGTTGTAAGCAAAAATCAAATGCATGGGAGAATTCATAGGATGCTTTGGATATATTTTGTAACCTTTCCAAGGCCTTCAACTGTGTTCACCATGAGATATTAATCAGGAAGCAACAGTACTATGGTGTCAAGAATACAGCGCTTAAACTTATTATTTCATATTTAAGTAATAGAGGGCAGAAAGTTATTATCAATAGAATAGAATAGAATAATTTTTATTCAATATTAATTATTACATAATCCTTATTGAAAGTCATTTTTATTTACCACTACTTTTACACACAATGGTAAAAGTTCTTCCGGGTAACCTGTACTAATGAGTGTCCCTCAAGGCTCTATTCTCGGCACATTCCTATTTCGAGTGTATATTAATGACTTACCTTCCCTTGTAGGGGATAGTCATGATATAGTATTATTTGCTGATGATACTTCCTTGATTGTTAAACTTCAACATCTATCATTTAAATTTGACGAAGTAAATAATGCTATATCAAAATTAGTGCATTGGTTTAACGATAATAATCTAAATTTAAATGGAAATAAAACTAAACGTATTAAAATCTGAATCTAAATGTAATATAAATCGAATGTTACAAATCTGAATATGTTTTTAATGTATTTTTAAAATGGGGGGAGAACTGAGCCCTCTTGAATCCACTGTTTTTCTTTGCATCACTCTGAACGCAAAGCTTCAGTGGGGCCCCCATATATCCAAACTGGTAAGCAGACTAATTTCTGCAGCTTATGCTGTAAAAAAAATTAGAGGTCTTACTAGTGTAGAGACAGCTAGATAGTTTATTTCAGTTATTTCCATAGCATAATGTCCTGCGGGGTTTTGCAATGGGGAAATGTGGCTGATTTAGAAACTATTTTTGTTTTATAGAAGAGGCCCATTAGAGCTATATACAACCTAAAACCGAGAGAGTCTCTTAGAGAAAAATTTAAAGAAATAAATATATTAACTTTGGCCTCTCAGTATATTTGCGAAAATTTAATTTATGTTCACAAAACAAAGGTAGTTTTAGTGAATAAAAGTGATTTACACTCTATAAACACTAGCAAAAAACACAAGCTAGTAATACCAGTTTCTCGACTCCGCAGAATCAGTAATTCATTCTTGGGGCAATGTATACGCTATTACAACAAAGTCCAAGGAAAGAAAGGTCTCTCTATTACCAAGTTTAAATATTTTACTATACAAAAATATAAATGGGTTTTTATAATATAAATGAATTCATGGTTAATAATAACCACTTTCTAAAATAAATTTTGTAAATAATTTGTACAACCATTCATTTTTTTTTATAGGATGAGGGTGACAAACGAGCACACAGTCCACCTGATGGTAAGTGGTTGCTGCGGCCCATAGACATCTACATCTATCCTCTGATATAAATCAAAATGTAGATGCGTTGTCACCCGTGAGGACTAAGATGGAATGCCTCATTTCCAGTGAAAAGGGCCTCCGGCCACCTGCACTCACCAAGCGAAACGCAGAGGTAAACCTCTACTTCACGCTGGTTTTCTGTGAGGTCGTGGTACTACCCCGGTTCGAGCCGGCCCATCCGTGCGACAGCAAAAGTTGCCGCGTGGCTCTACCACTGTTAAAATCACTTTAAAAAAAAGTCCCGCTGGGATTCTTGCTAGTTCTTCCCAGGACAATGGTTGTTTCACTTTCAGTAGGAATTACATATGTGATCTATATTGAATAAATAACTATCCTGTACTATTTTCATGATCATGGAAAGTTGTAAGATCTCTTTAATACCTATACTTGGTCCTCATCGAAACTTTATTTTGATTCTTTATTGAGGATTTAACTACGTGTCCAGGATGATTTTGTGAGAGTCCAAATTCTAATTAAGTCGTAGATAGTTTAAATTATTTCCACAAATCATTAATTTCTCATCAGAAGTGGACTGTATTATTGCCAAAGCAAAACTAAACAACAACTAAATGTATTCATTTTGACATTTTTCTCATTTATTATTAAATATCCCATTGTATTTTATATGCGACGAAAAGGTAAACAAAACAGTCACGAAATTAAATTTGGCCAAAAGTATTGAATAATTGAAATCTCTAGTTTATCGCCAATATCAATACAGTTTTTGGAAGGAGCATAACCGATAGTATAAGTGTACAAGATGTGTTAGATTTTTTCAAAGAATAAGGCTGAGAAACTTACACACAATCCTGATGGTAAGTGGATGCTGTGGCCCATAGACATCTATATTTATTCTCGATTAAGAATCAAAATGTATATGCGTTGTCACCCCTGAGGACTAAGATGGAATGCCTCGTTTCTAGTAAAAAGGGTATGCGGTTCTTTACACTCATCATTGAAACACAGCAGAATTAAGCTGTTGTTTTACACTGGTATTCTGTGAGAGTGTGTTTCTTTCCCCGCTCGAGCCGACCCATTCATGCTACAAACATAATATAGCTGCAGCGTGCTGGTAGAGGACCAGGTATAGATATATATTTCAATAAAAATATTAAATATAAATACAATTGGCTTAATTTCATTGTTTAATACTTCTTACTTACCGTTTACAATGAAATTATAAACATTAAAACAGGAGAACAATAATTGTGTTATGATATATTCCCCTTTAGCTTTCTCGTGGTTATTATCCAGACATCTCGCACTTCGTCTTGTCACTAATTAACTTACTATGTCTACGTTCCAGGGATCCTACACCAGCTGTAACGAAATTACTGCCCGCAAAATGGCTACCAACACGTAGAAAAGACCCGCGCGTTTTTGTCATAGATAAAAAATTCTCCACGGCACCATTGTGGAACGACGAAACGTTATTATTTTGGAATGAAACTTATTTTAAATACAGGAGAAAAACTTAACAACGTTTGTGAATTTGAACAGACTCCGCGGAGTTTAATATTGGGATAAAGGAATGAAATATTAGGACAAAGACGATGCAACGTTTCCAAGAAAGTTTGCGCATTAAAATGTGCCAGACCATTTGAAACAATTATTTGTCTGCAAGAGTTCGCCGACGCTGACAAATTGTATTTTTGGATTAACGTGTTTAATTAATAGACACCTTTTGTTCCAGCCTTACTATTTGCTTATCTTAAACAGCGGGTAGCTAGAAATATATTATTGTATTGTATTGTTTCTTAAGATTATTTTTTATATTTACCTAATAATCTTATTTTTTAATTTAATTTTTTATAGAATAAGGGTGTCAAACGAGCACAGATTCCACCTGATGGTAAGTGGATACTGTGGCCCATAGACATCTGCTATATTTTTCCTCGGTTAACAAACAATATGTGGATGCAATTGCCTCCCCTGAGGACGAAAATAGAGAAAGAAATAAAGAAATGGGTTTTTTCGAGTTCAAGCATGCAGCAATATGTAAAAAAGTAAAAATATCCAAAACGATAAATAAAAGGAAGTGTATCGAAATAGTGGATGGAATGCCTCGTATCCAGTCAAAAGATTTTCCTGTTCTCTACACTCACCATACGAAACACAGCAGCATTAAGCTGCTATTTTACACTGTTATTCTGTTAGAGCATGTCCTTCGCCGACTGAGCCGACTGAGCCGACCCATTCTTCGTATAAGCATGGCTTTATCACTTACTATATATATATATATATATATATCATCATCATTACAGCCCTTCACAAGTCCACTGCTGAACATAGGCCTCCCCCAAAGAATGCCACAAAGCACGGTCCTGAGCCACCTGCATCCATCGACTTCCTGCATGTCTTACCAGGTCGTCACTCCATCTCGTGGGGGGACGCCCTACACTTCGCCTACCGGTACGAGGCCGCCACTCGAGAACCTTTCTTCCCCATCGGTCGTAGGTTCTTCGAGCTATATGGCCGGCCCACTGCCACTTCAGCTTACTAATCCGTTGGGCTATGTCGGTTACTCTGGTTCTACTGCGGATATCCTCATTCCTAAGTTTATCACGCAGAGAAACTCCGAGCATAGCCCTCTCCATAGCTCGCTGAGCGACCTTGAGCTTTCTCATACGGCCAGCAGTGAAGGACCACGTCTCAGTTCCGTAAGTCATCACTGGCAACACGCACTGGTTGTACAATTTCGTTTTAAGGTTTTGAGGTATGTCTGACGAGAAGATGTGTCGTAGCTTCCCGAACGCTGCCCAGCCGAGTTGAATCCGTTGATTGACCTCTCGGTCGAAGTTGGACTTACCTAGTCGGACTATTTGTCCCAGGTACACATACTCGACAGTCAACTTGGCACCGCTGAAGGGACTGCAGCACCGCCCAAATTTCGACGGAATCAAAGGCTTTCTCATAGTCCACATACGCCAAACATAGTGGCAAATTGTACTCTTCGAACTTCTGTACAATTTGCCAAAGGGTATGTATGTGGTCTATGGTGCTAAAGCCCTTTCGGAAACCGGCTTGTTCGGGAGGCTGGAAGTCGTCAAGTCTGCGCGCGAGACGATTCGTAATGACTCTCGAAAACAGCACGTAGACGCGGCTCAGAAGGGAAATCGGTCTGTAGTTCTTCAAGAGAGCGTTGTCACCTTTCTTGCAGAACAAGACCACCGCACTTCTGCTCCACGCCTCCGGTGTAATGCCACCATGGAGGACGGAATTAAAGATCCTCTGAAGGACTTCAAGTACCGGTTTTCCACCCGCTTTCAGAAGCTCCGCTGTAATTCCATCCTCGCCTGGGGCCTTACCGTTTTTAAGGTGCTGGAGAGCCATTCTAATCTCGCTCAGACTGACGTCCGGGATATCTTCGGAATACTGTCGGATGAGACTCGCTCTTGGATCGTTACTCACACTTGCGTGTGGCTCCAACGATGACGTGTACAACTGCCCATAGAACCTCTCAATCTCACTCAAAATCTCAGGTGTCCCGGAAACGATGCTGCCACACTCTGTCTTCAGCTTTGACAGTTGGCTTTTTCTGGCAGACAGATCTCTGGCAAAGACTTTGGAGCCTTGGTTCCGCTCGATCGCTTCTTCAATACGAGCTGTATTGAAGTTGCGTAAGTACCGCCGCATGCATTTGGAGATCTGTCTGTTCAGATGCCTGTATGCTGTCAAGTCTGTTGAAGAATGTAGCTTCATCTCCCGTCTAACAGCCATGAGATTAAGAGTGTGATCGAAGAGTTTTTGTGTTCTTCTGCGGCGGGTCTTGCAGAACTTAGCTCCGACCGCATGGACAGTTTCCACGAGCTTGTCATTCATATCGTCCACTTCATTGCAGTCTCCTAGGCACTGAAAACGGTTTTGTAACTCGAGCTGAAAAGTTTCGGGACTTTGGAACAAAGCACGAGGGGGACGGAGCGTTGACTTCATTAGACGAGACCTCTCCAACTTAACGTTTAGGTTCAGTGTGCCTCTAACCATTCGGTGATCGCTACCAGTTTTCACCCTCGCGATCACGGAGACATCACTGAACAGTTGTCGTCTGGTCGTCATAATGAAGTCAATCTCATTTTTTGTCGAACCGTCGGGGCTCGACCAGGTCCACTTCCTGTGGGGCCGCTTCTGGAAGAAAGAGTTCATCATAAAGAGTCCCTCCTTCTCCATGAAGTCAGCCAGCTGCTGGCCCCTTGGGTTCCGTTGCCCTATTCCAAATTTCCCTACTTTCAGCTCACCGTTCTCTCTTGTGCCTAGTTTTGCGTTGAAGTCTCCCATTAACACCGTATATTGGGTTTTGGAGGAATGCATGGCTCTAGACATATCCTCATATATTTCCTCCACCTCCTCATCGGGGTGTGCCGAGGTTGGTGCGTAAACCTGTATGACCTTCAGCGAATACCGTTTGGTGATTCTGAGTATAAGGTATGCAACCCTCGTCGACACACTCCCGATCATTACAACGTTGTTAACGAGAGATTTGTGGACGATAAATCCGACACCTCCTTGGGACAGATGGTCGCCCTCCCGGTGATAGAGCAAGTTGCCGGATTCGAGGATTACCGTGTCCTCCCCCTCTCTTCGGACTTCGGATAACCCTATAATATGCCAGCGCAACTTGTCTATCTCTTCTTCCAGCTCCACAATCTTCTCGTCAGTCCTCAGGGTGCGTGCGTTGTACGTTGCCAGGTCGAGTCGTCTAAGGTGGCAACCGAACCTCCACCGGAGATTCTTAGCACCCCCTGCCCCGCCGTTACCATGGTCGCCACCGTAGCCAGGAATAGCGGGGCCGCCGGGGACTGGGGGCCGTTTCTTTGTAACTGTCATTCATAGGGGGGGGGGGGGGGTATTTGCCATAGTTGCCACGCTTGGCGAGCGGGTTGGCAACCGCAGTTTTTTTTTATTGTTAGTTTGTTGTTATCAAGAAGATGCTGCTGCCCATCTCCTGCCTGTTTCCCTTTGTCGCCTTTTACGACACCCACGGGAGGATATGGGGTAGTGGATATTCTTGACCGCCTCTACACGGCACTTACTATATATATATATATATATACTTACTATATATATATATATATATATATATATATATATATATATATATATATATATAGTAAGTATATATATATATATATATATATATATATATATATATATATATATATATAGTAAGTATATATATATATATATATATATATATATACACAGCTGTCTATATTGTTTGATTAAAATGCACTAATATTATATAGGCATTACTAGAGCCTTTGGGTCTATCAGCTCCTTGATGCCATATTCTATTGCTTCGTCATCGTAAATACAGTGTCAGCAAGTTAAATTAAAATTTATAAATAAAATATGTAGAAACCAAATAAAGACTAAAAATTACTATAAATAAATAGGTAATAAATATAAATTCTGAGTGCATGTTGGTCTCGTGGTTGTAAATGCGGTTGCTCTTGAGGTTCCAGGTTCGAATCCCGGTCATAGTAAAATCAGTAATTGGGTTTTTTCTGTCAAGAAACACTCCATAGCAGCAGCCTCAGGAATTTGGCGGCGTTTCGCCCCCGTGCCTTGCAAAGCACGTATAGCCGTTGGTTTGCGGTTGCTAACCCACCTGCCAAGTGTGGCAACTATGGCAAATGGGATATTTGCCACAGTTGCCACGATTGGCACATTAGGCAATTGCCATGGATTTGTGGTGGAGGCTTACGTCCAGTAGTGGACACTTAACAGGCTGTAACGGTCACGGTAGACAGTATCTTGAGTATGGTAATCAGTTTCAAGTGACTGGTCAGTAGTTGTCCAAGTTTTAACGGTGTCGACAGCACATCTTCTCCATCATTAGCCCGTAAAAGAAAGTAAATCCACTGCTGAATAGGCATCTCTAGTTATAGAATTTTTTTTATAAACTTAAGTAATGAACGATTTTAAAGTCAACCGGATTGTAAGTGGCTACTGCACTCCATGAATAACTGCAGCCATCTTCAAACAAAATACGTTGTCACCTCTGAGGACTGAACCTGTAATTATTCTTGCTCTCACAACTACTACTTGTAATTCTGCTACCTCTCACTACAGACCTAGTATGCTAGCCAGGTGACAATATTATACGTGGTAGAGTCACTCTGCAGCTATATTATGGTTTGTAGCATTTAATGCTAAATAACATTTCAAAATTCCAAACGAAATCTATCACGATGTCAAAGGAGACTACCGTCTGCGGGTAGAATTTTATAAAAATTGTGACAATTCGTACGCGTGCTATCTTCAACTTCAAGTTTTACGTGGTAGAGCCACGCTGCAGCTACATTATAGTTGTAGCACGGATGGGTCGGCTCGACCGGGGAAGGACTACGCTCTCACAGAATACCAGCGTTAAATAGCAACTTGTTGCTACTGTAGGTGCTTTCGCATGTTGAGTATAGAGGATCGAGACCCTTTTGACTGGTAACAAGACATTCCATCTTAGTCCTCAGGGGTGACA